CGAGTTGATGGGCTAAAACTCCTTGTTTGGCTTTATGAAATAAGGCTGTGAAACTTAAACGGAAAATAATAGAATATGCTGGCGTCTGCAACATGTTCATGTGAATTTCATGGGAAATTAAATAGGGCTTGCGAGCCATCAAGTGCATGTCTTTGAGATTGCGCTAGTGTTGGCGTTGCCTTCAACATGTCCAAAGCTACATATGGGGGAAAAATAGTTGGTTTGAGAATGGAACGGAGAAACTAAACTACAAGTCAAATAAAAAAAAGTTAGATATTTACCATACGATGGGAAAAAACATGTTTCACAAATTCTAAAATAATTTGATCCAACTATTTATTTTATCCATAGTATAGTTCGACCGAAGATAGTATATAATTTGTGAACATGGCAAAAAACATAGTATATATTGTACCATGCATAGTCATGTTTTCTTTTTTTCTGATAACTTGTCCACAAAAGTTTGTCCAGGAACATTTCCTCACGATAGTTCGACCACAAAATTGATTGTAAATAAAATTTCATTCACGATTAATTGTCCACCGAAATGATTGTAGACATGTAATCTTAGACAAAAGATTTTTCCTTAACTACAAGCTCAAGCTTAACCACCAACTAGATTTTTGTTCATCTAGGGCCCAATCTAAGGCCTATTATTGAATGTGTCGGCCCACTAAAACAATATTAATTTCTACATGACTACATTAATATACCAAGTACCAGCCCATTATTGTTACTTCTTTTCAACACCTAAATGCAACTGCACGTACATTGTTATTCATTGATTTAGACAACGTTAAATCTTTATAGACTTTTAAGTTTATAAACTTTTTTCGGATTTGTATTAAACATGAAGAATCAAAATGTCAAAGACCGGTAAATAAAAGCCATATTTCGTCTTACTTTTACTTTTACTGTCTTTTGATCAAATGAGCATTTTTGTAAACCAAACTAAATGAGTACTTTTTTTTGCTAAATAAAAAAAGGGATATTCCAAATAGAGTTGTTTTCACATGCCATGAGAAATAAAAATAGAGAATTCAATCTTTTATATTTTATTTCAATTTTCCTAAAATTTATTAAGATTCAAGATACAGAGTCGTATACTATACTACAAATAATAACAATAGATAGCATTTTCTTTTCTTTTGTCAGACGAATCAATAACATTTAAGAAATATCTTTAAATAATATATACCTTTTTGGAAATTTAAGCTATCACTCTCGATTTTTTTTTTCAATTAGCATACGTAGACATATAACATTTCGAATTAAATAATTAAGTTTTTTTGCATATACGATTTCCCCTCCTACGAATTAGTTTTTATAAAATATGATGATGGAGGA